TGAGTTTGACACGACACGACACACGCAACACCACGACACACGACAGCACACACAACTACACACACGACACACGCACGAAACGGGATGTACCTCGGCTGATGAGGGCACGAGCGCGAGGACGGTGACGCCGGCGAAGGTCTGTCCGATGTTGAGGGCCTCCAGGGTGGGCTCGATGGCCTTGACCAGCTCCTCAGCCACGAGGGAGAAGAGCACGATCGAGACCGCGAGGATGATGACGGCCTTCAGCTTGGACCAGCGCGGCGCGTCGTGGCCGTCGTCGCCGCCCTCGCCCTCGCCCGCCGCCGCGTTGCTGAAGATGTGCGCATGTGTCTTGAGCGTGAAGAGCAGCCCGACAAGGTAGCTCACCGGCAGAATGGCAGCCACCGCGTAAATCAGAGGCCTATGTGCGTGTGCGGCGGTGCGTGTGCGTGTGCGGTGGTGCGGTGGTGCGGTGGTGCGGTGGTGCGGTGGTGCGGTGGTGCGGTGGTGCGGTGGTGCGGTGGTGCGGTGGTGCGGTGGTGCGGTGGTGCGGTGGTGCGGTGGTGCGTGCGCGTCGAAAAGTGAAAAAAGAGCGACAAAGAGCAAAGTGGGAGGGGAGGGCGAACTGGGCGGTGTTTTGGAAGAGGGGGTCCTTGTAGAAGTCGACGGGACTCGTGTGGCATTGGGTGCACGCGAGCGGTATCGTACTGGACCAGAGGCCAAAGCCACAAGTCAGTGATCAGCCCAACCGACAGATGTGAACTATGTAGTATATAAAGATAAATCTATGTAGTGTATGCCTTCCATAAGAAATCCATGAAAAGAAATTCAAAAAGCGAGTATCACTGGCCAAGAGAAATCAAACACGATACAGGATTGGATAATTTCGATTTTTGTCGACGGTTGTACATCATACAACCTATGAAAGGCTAAGGGATATATTGGCAGGTGGGTGCGAACCTGTTGTCCTTGGGGACGCACACGTCGCATGAGAACGTGGTGTCTCCGTTCACCTGCCAATACATGGTGGGGCCGAACACGCCTTGGACACCCCACGCGTTGCGTGCCTCGGTGAGCACCACGTAAGGATGGGTGGTGTGAGTGGGTGCGGGTGGGTGGGTGTACCGATGATCGACACGATGAGCAGAACGGAGGACACGCCGGCCGCTCGAGAGCTGAACCGCTGCTCGTGGTACTTGAGCCCGCCCGCGATCTATAAGTCGCGTGGCAGCAAGCATGAGCCAATGGGAAATTACTCGTGGGGGAGGGGCTGGTGACGTGGCGATGGTGGGTACGTACCATAGAGAGGCCCGGCAGCAAGAGCAGGTCGCCCAGCAGAGACCCTGTTGGTGGTTGGGGAGGGAAAGAAAAAGCAGTTCAGACGCCTGGCGCCGCCTCAGAAGGCGCAAAGCGGGCTCGGACGACGCACCGACAACGCCGGCTTGCACCAGAGGTACCAGGCCACCTTTGTAGAGCGCACTGGTCGTGTGTGTGTGTGTGTGTGTGGTGTTAGAGG